ACTGTTAAATCTGAAATATAAGTAAGCATAGAAATTGAAATTTGAAAAGAATAAAGTGTTTTTATGGTCAAATGGTCATTTGATTCAAAACGTACTTTATGATACATATATATATATATATATATATATATATATATATATATATATATATATGAACAGTTTGAATGTTTGTCATACTAAGTTAAGAGATGTGTATCGTATGACTGAATAAGAGGTGTTTTTAATGAAATCTAGAATGTATAAAAATTTCAGATTTGTCGAATTTCACCTTGAAACGTTCCAGATTTATCTGCTACATAGTGTTATCTCGTAGTTATCGTTTTCATATAAACAGGAATGGGGAATGATGTATAGTTAGATAATTAAAATCACAGACTCAGATCTGAATGAAGTATACACCCTAACCAAATAAAACTATTGACTTATTTCTTACAGTTTTTACATGCATATTACTCCAAGAAATCGAAGATTAGGACATACATCTTGTTCCAAGTAGGAAACATGAACATTGAAACAGTAACTTATTTACTTTACAGTGTTTTTAATGACATCTAGTTGACTTGTAATGTTTCTCAAATAATAGATGGAAAACACATGACCTACTTACTTACTTACACCAGTTACCCCCATTGGAGCGTAGGTTGCTGACCAGTATTCTTCAACGTACTCTGTCCTGGGCTTTCCTTTCCAGTTCTGTCCAATTGTTGTTCAATCTTCTGTCTGTCTGCCTGCATTTCGCGGTGTCATGTGTTTTCTCGTCTGCCTTTCTTCCTCTGACCTTGAGGTTTCCATGTGACAGCTTGTCTTGTGGCGCAGTTGGTTGCTTTCCGCAATGTATGTCCTATCAACCTACAGTGCTTCTTCCTTATTTCAGCCTTCTCACGAATCTGATTTGTTTTCTCCCACAGCAGGTTATTGCTGATGGTGTCCGGCTAACGAGTCTGAAGTACTTTGCGTAGAAAAATGTTAATAAATACTTTTGTCTTAATTATTTTCTCTGGTTATCGTTTTTTAGCAACTTAGTTTTCTACGGGATGGGGTGGCTAACCCCATGACCAACCCTCCTCCTTTATCCAGGCTTGGGACCGAAAGTATCAACAGACGGGCTCCAGGCGAAGTTATATAACCAAGTACAAATGTATTACTTTTGAAAGTTTCGTTACATCATTCATCCTAACATGGATTTCCTTATTACTAATAAAAACATTCATACTTGATAAAATGTTTAAATCTCATTTTATATTCACCCACGTGAATTCTTTCTGGAATATTTTAAGAAAAGATTAATGTACATAAAAATGAATATCATAGTAATAGGATAATAATATTGTAGTGAATGAGAACACAGGTGGGGCAACCGGATTGTATTTAGCGAAAATTACAGAGTTACTCAGTAAAATCGAAAAACCATATCGTAAATTGTTCATTTGCAAAAGATCAGTTCATCCTTTGGAACTGGACTGTTCCTGTTTGCGAAACGTCAATCCATTGTCACTATTCATGCGTTTCATACAAATTCCATTGTTTTCTAACTCTTCCTTCCTTGATCTTCCCCTCATATTATGCTACCAGCCATTACGTTGACACTCACGCCATATACTACTTATAAGTAGTTCGCACCACAGCACCACAATATAACTGATATAAAACTTGTTTCATTTAAGGATTGTTTTATTTAACTAGAATGAATAAGGGATGCAACAAAATCGGGAGATGCTTCAATAAACTAACAGTTATCATAATTATTTATTGACAGCTGAAATATTTCATTATTGAAGCATCTTGAAATAATCAAGAGAATTTGACTACAAATACACTTTAGTAATAAACGGAAAGTAGACTGAAAACTTGAGTGCTTGATTTTCGACTCGAAACATTGAATACATTTTGCTGAAGTTGCTTAAAAGTATGCTAAATCGTCTGATCATTTGATAAAATTCATTCACTAACTACAACTAGAAATGTTTGTTTGATGAGCATAATCGAGTGAGTAACTGCTACCCTTTTACATTTCAAAGGCTTTCCATAGTACATAGATCACAGGAATCATGCATATATTTTTCAAAGGCGTGATGAATTAAAGAATTGGTTAAAATTTAGTTCACTCTATCTAAAGTCCATTGTTATCAAGTTTACCAGGGTGTTCAGTTAGACATTAACATCGTTAGATACCGGCTGAGTGGTCCAGAGGTTAGTCGTTCAGGCCCAAGACCGGAGGCCCTGGGTTCGAATCCTGCGAGTTGTAGGAGCCGTCGATGCACACTGCTGATGAGTCCCATACTAGGACGGACGAAACGGTCGTCCAATGCTTCCAGGTTTCTAATAGTTGTCTAACATTGAGCGATTCATGATTTCAAATGTCTAATATTACTACTCGTTTCTGACAGAAGTTGTTTGGTTCGACTATATCTTAGAAAAAAACTTTCAGTCTTCTTTCACTCGTAAATGGATCAAACTCTGTAAAATGGTGTAAATCGCACTTTCAAATGAATGGAAGATTGTTATTTTATTGGACGTATACAAATAGGATTGAAATTGCGAGGCAACTGCAATGAAGTTATCAGAAGTGATAACTAATGATGGAAAACTAACAAACGTATGCTATGCATATTATATTCGAAAAATAAATACTTCATAGTTTTGTACTACCTAAATATACATTATTGATAAGAATAGTTCTAAAAATATAGGATAACTAAGGTTTTCGCTTAGTTAGATATTTCCAAAACATTAAATGGTTATAAAAACATGTAACATTATTGACAATTTCTATTTCAGATTTTAAGATCATTAAAAAATTTATTTACTTTAAAATGAGCTTATAAAATAACACAATAAAGATATGCTGTACATATATTCTTTCATAGAAGTATGTGACTAGTGTTTGATAATTATTTACAAATATTGTCAAGACATTTAGTTCTTGTCTATAATAATACCAAGGTTTATAAGTTCAAATGAACTCATCATTAGCAGTTAAATGATTTGTTTCAACAACTGTTATTAAAACTGTTCAATTTTCAAAGGTTCAAGTAGCATTGTTTACGAAATAAAATATGGTATGTAACACTTTTAAAAAAAATATTAAAAAATCCAAATATTTGGTGGCAATAGATCCCCAGAACTCACTTAGAAAAAGTCTGAAAAATTTAATCTCCATGTTTTCGCACCAGATGACCTTCAGCTCACATTTCCCCCTCGGAAAATCCTTGACTGTCATTGGTTAATGTATAATTTTAGTACGCTATTTTGTGGCTCTCACAAAGGGCGCTTCTATCATTGCATAAATAAGCTTGATTTGTGTGCTTGTGAACCTTATACTTTCTGGGTGCTTGTAGAATACACCTTTTACGCCTTATCAAGACTTCTTGATATAGTTTTCCGGGGCTGGGAAAAACGGATTAAAATAGCCTATCGTGTTACTTGCATCATTAGTCTTTGTTCCGTTTATTGAGTAAGGTGAACTCGTAATAGCCTTCAAGCATATCGATTGATGAGCTTATCACAAATGCAAAAACACACAAGTCACTAGATAATAAATACTTTTACATGTTTCTATTGAATTATAACCTGAGCCAATTGTGATTCCAAGTTCTACAGAAAATTAATTTTGAAAGAGTTGATTACTTAATATAGTTTACATATTTATACTCCCAGACAGAAGCTTAATTAAAGAATCATATTTAATCATATTATTAGATAACCAAACACTTTTTGATGTCTTGCATCTAATCTTCATTTCAATTCATTTAAAACTGAGGTTTAGTTCACTGAATTGTTCCATGAACTCACCCTGTATTATTTCTCTAACTTTCAAGAGTCATATCAAGCTTAAGAGCTTTGGAGAAATGAATTCAGAGTCAACTAGCTCATCCGATTACGCCAGTCCTACTGTTTAACACTGATACACACCTAGTGATCTACTTCAAAACCAATTCAGTTATCAACTGTGTATCACCAGATGTCATTTTGTAGTAAAGTTATCTTTCAAAAAGAAATCTATGAATTTCAGATTTGATATATTTTATTCATGAGTTCAATTAAAAAACACATAATGGTATAGTTTCTTGATCTTTCCAAGATTGATTTGGTTCTGTTGTTCACAGTTAATATGATTCATCAGAGGATAAATGGCTTGGGGCACACAATCAAACTGTTTTCTACACATACGAACAAGTCATATATACCGAATTTTCATTTTTTTCATGAGATTAATTATGAAAAACATAACAATAGAACCCTCTTAATAACAAAATTCATAACTTAGAATCTTATTTATTAGACTTGAATAAAGAGGAAGGTTTACATTTCCAACCGTTGATATTAAAGATTTTCAGTGATGAATTCTTATTCTTTATTCCGCCGTTGTTGCCTTTCAGTTAAATGGTTTTAGTATTTTTATTATCGTGCATGACGATCTAGCCCTGGAAGCATATCTCTTTCTTGTTAGGACCCTTCAGCTTGATATATAATTGTCGTCATATCCAAACTAGTGGCTATAAGTAAATTATAGATCAGTTTAATACGACAGGTGCGGCTTTCCAATTTTATTGTAAACATCAGTAATACGATCCAGGTACATCTTCCTGACAAATCTCCGACAAGACAAAACGTAAATGCTAGATTCTGACTGCAACCATTATCTTGAATATGGGTGTCTGTTACTTGATTTCGATTAGTGCATGCTTTTTTACCCAGAAAACTTACAATTTATAGCAAAGATATTGCTAAAATATCATAGGATACAATACAGAAAACAAGTTTAATCCTAAAAAAATCAGTCAACCAATCAAAATTAAGATTTTGTTCAAATAACTATTCACTCTATATTACTGACTATTCTACAATCAGTGGGTTAGTAATTATCAAGAAAGTAGAATGTATCGGATAATAATTATGACATTTTGAAATATTATGAATTATACAGAAGTCATATTTATCCTAATTTCTTACTGAACTTTATCTAATCTACCGACAATATCATATAGAGAGTAGTTAGTATGACATACAATTTGACATGTTTCAATGCTGAAACAGATTTCACGCCTGAAGGTGTTATGATGTATCGATTTCGTGCATATGTAACACCATTAATTGTTATATTTGGAACAAGTGGAAATATTCTAGTGATTATTGTTTTTATTACAATGCAAAATAAATCTCCATGTCGATTTAATTCTTACATAATTGGTATTGCTGTAGCGCATATCATGGAATTGATATTTAACGCATTTTTAGATGATTTTCTTGGTAGAGGATTAGCATGGTTGACAGAATGTAACATAATTATTAAATTAGATACTTATTCATTATTTTTATGTAAATTTTTCTCATACATTCCAGAAACAACCGGATTAATTTCAACCAATGTTCTAATTATATTCAGTTTCGATCGTATACTAACCGTATTTCAACCGATTAAATTTCGCGGTGATCGACATCTTCGTTTTGTTCGGTATAGTATTATAATTATTTATATTATTGGAATGATATTATACTTGCCGACAGCTATTAATTCTGGTCTTGTAACAAATAAGCATAATTATACACTTTGTCAATTTGTTGATCCATTGAAATTCAGTGTTCAATATAATTTATATTTATCAAATATTGGCGCAACAATTATACCCACTTTGGTAGCATTTATCACTACGATTATTATAACACTTAAATTACATAAAATATTTAAAGAACGCTATGAAATGTGTCAACATGTTGAACGGAATACCAATGAACTACGTCGTATCGCTGGACATTTAGCTATGACAACAATATTTTTCATATTAAATATACCATTAATTATTGTAGTATTATTGAGACAACATTCAGATTATAGTAATTACAATGTATTATATCCAAATTATGCGCATAAATTAAAACATCTTTCAAAATTATTCAGTTCTATTAAATCGCTGAATGCTGCTATGGAATTTCCGACATTTTTCATTTTTCTACCAGCATTCCGTCTACATCTTCGTCTATTATTATTATGTAGACAGAAAAAATCCACTCCTAAAGATGTCTTCTCTTTACATCGTATGCGAAAAACATGGAAGCAAATATTAACACGAAATAATGCGAAATCACAAACAACTACAAATAATACGAAGAAAAATGGAATCACTGATAAAACACAGAATACAAACTAAAAATGTACATGCAAAAATTATCGATTATTTGAATGACTCATTCAATCATGACTAAAAGAGAAGTCTGCATATATATATACAGAGATAATACCTAATGCAAACATTCAAGTCTGTTTTTCTGTAAAACAATTTATGTGAGATCGTTGATCCTAAGAGTCTTTGATATTTATACAGATTTATGTTATTGATTTGAATGATTCATTGTTGTTCATTATTCAAATTTTGATTGTTAAATTGTATATTTTTTTTGTCTTTGTGAAAAGCACATTCATATTTGAAACTGTTGTTATTTTGATTTTATGGAATTGGCTTCATAAAAAAAATGAAGTGACGATTGATTACTACTCAATGTTTTTAAAAGCCACTGTGAGTTAAGTTCATTTACTGCGAAGTGTAGTATTTGTGGAATCGCAGTGATTGAATGATTTCATGAATTATTTGTAATTTGATCTGTGAACAACCTCAAGTTACGTGATTGATCACTTGTATGTCTTGATTCGATCGATAGATTTTTGTGTGTCACCTTATACGAGAGTAATGTGAATATTTCCAAGGTACTATATACTAATATTAGCTGGAAATGTACACTATTAAAATACTTCTCTTTTAAACCATGCTTATATACGTATACTTCTACAACTGTCTGAAAAATAGTATACACGTTGTTTTTTGAGGTAAACATGTTGATATATACATAATATAGTGAGTTGGATATAAAGATAACAACTGCATTACTTATTATCTGTCATATTGATTTTTCAGTCAAATGTTAAAAGTTCATAAAAGTGTGAATGTTACAGTGTACGCCATGATTGATTATTAGTCTGGATGACCTTGAACAAGAGTAAAATTTTGGTAATTAGGTAAATTAAATGGTATCCAAAATGTAGGTGTATCCAACAACCCTACTGTTCTTATCGGTCCAAATTAATTGTTCATTGAGATAGTCAAACTTTAATGAATTCTTGTACTATACTAATTTTCATTCTCTCTGTCCGTTTAACTGTATGTCAGAAAGCACGTTGACCGAAGGTCTTTGTCCTTTACTATGGGAAACTTTCACAGGACTTCGTACCTGCGTCCATCAGTTCACGTTGCCATACCACATTAGCACAGAGACGCAGCTGTCAGTTGTTGGCTAATTGCTTGACAAAGAACATGACATTGATGTCATTAAGTCAAGAAAATTGACACATCGGAAAAGTCAAATTTATTACGTTTTACCGAAATAGTTGCAGTAAATAGTATGCGCATCCAAAAAGACGCATTCATCAGCCTTATTTTACCAAGAAGTGACCTAAGTCCATTACTTAATATATATCTCTCTCAAGACATTAATGATAATATCTTACTTCTCGTTTGATTTATACTCAAATAGTAAATTTTACTTTTTTTCAGTCAAGTTACATTTATATATCAAACCTAGTTTAAAGTAGAACTTTATTCTCAAACAGACTATGTATACCGTCTTACCTTCTCAATATTGATTAGTTATTTCAGCCTTGTAAGGAATTATTTAAACAGAAACCATGAAATAAATAGATTTATATTTATATATTATTTTGTTACATTCATTATTGTTGCTGTAGTCAAACTGTGGTTATTGATTAACTGAAACATTTATTTCAGGTATGCAATTTTTATGTTATTTCATATGAAAAAGACCCTAGCTATCTATTTCTGTTTTGTTATTGTTGTCAAAAATATTTCATCGTTTGAATTGCATTCTTCCACTGTCCTTTTTTATTAGGCTTGTAGGTTTTTGGTTTGAATATATAACGAATGGTAATGAAAATTGTTAAGTTTAAGTATTCTGTAACCTTTCTATTTTGTAATAATGTTAACAGTTATGATAGGAAATGTTTTTAGTTGTAACAAGGAACTAACGGAATACACATTTCGTTTGAGATGCAGAAAGTTTTAAATGTATACAGATGATGGTAGTGTTCATTCCTTAGTGTGTAATGAATTGTATCGTGTATGTTGCAATTGGTTTATGAGTTTGAAGGACATGTTATTGTGACTAACATTATTTGTCGCAGTCTGTATAAGAATGTTTCATTGGATGGGACTCACTATCAAATTGTATCCATAGCTTTTTGAAAAGTGACGTTCCATGTATTTCAACCCCATATTGACCCATATTAAAACCAGAGATGTGACCACTCTACATCGACTTCATTGAGCACGAGAAAGCGTTTGACTGCATGGACAGAACAACACTATGGAGGCATCTTCGGCGCTATGGTGTGCCTGAGAGGATAGTCGACAACATACAGAATTCTAATGATGGATTAAACCGCAAACGTTTGCTCGGAAGACCGCTAATGAACTCGTTCGAGGTGAAGACTGGTGTCAGAAAAGGTTGCTTACTCTCACCCTTCCTCTTTCTGTTCAAGTTTAACTGAATTATCAAGACTTCAGAAATGTGAGGGGAAGCACGAGATAGAGTGGACAGATCAGATTCACCTGAGCGATCTGGAGTTCACAGATGATCTCTCCTATCTATCCCACACACAAACATCAAATGCAGGTGAAGATGACCAATGTAGCAGCAACCTCTGCATCAGCAAAACTCAACATACACAACAACACAACATGCACCAAACAAATCACCAAACCAGATTCCAGTGGAAGAGAAAATCAGGAAGAAGTGGTGGAAGTGGATAGGACAAACTTTGTGGAACGCACTAAACTGCGCCACAAGACAAGTCTTCACTTGGACCCCTTAACGACAAAGTAGAAGCGAAAGGCAAAGGAAGACATTACACTGAGAAATCGATATAGACATGAGGAGAATGTGCAGCGAACTGGGAAGGGAAGCTCAGGACAGAGTAAGTTGTCGAATAATGGCCTCCGACTCATGCTCCGATATGGGTAACAGTCGTAAGGAAGTAAGTGAGTAAGTAAATAGTTTCTGCAGATAATTAATAATTCTTATCCAACCAATTCATGTTTAAATAATAAAATGATCGAAATGTTTACATTAGTCAGTAAATAAAAATGATTTGTATCATAGACGTATAATTCTCACTTTGAACATCATAAGTGCAAGGTTCAGCAAACGCATCAAACTTATCAAGCAGTACAATCAGATATCTGTGAAATTCCGAGTAATAATTCCGTGAGAACATATGAAATGAACATATAAAATGAGTAAAGCGAATCAGCTTCATACTTCTAGAATGAGTAATTAGTGAATGGTCCATATATTCCCACTTCATCTGAATACAATTCGTTACTGTTTAGTTTTAAAACATACTAGTTGACATTCATATAACAGCCAACCGAAATAGGAGACAAAGATCATTTTCATCAGAAATTAATAAGATAATCTGTTATGTACTTTGGTAGTTACAGTGACTAGTTTCAACTTCAGCTTAGCTGGCTGGATTAACTTACTTAGTTTCTTAACTTAGTTTTATATCACTAAAATTGAACTCATTGAAAACTTCATTTCGATTAATGAAATTTACTATTCCCATTTTCAAATGTTATTTCGAAGCTTATTATTATTGTTCAACATTTAAACCATTACTTGTCAATTACTGTTATGTTTTGCTAGGACACAACACTAACTGTTCAGTAATATAATAACTCTATCTTTCCTGTCTGTATGTCTAATTTAACTATGCCGAATTCCGCTAACTTTGAATAAAAATCAACGGATAATTCTTAAAAACACAAGTTTTTAAAATGTTCAATGTCTGAACATGTAAGATGATGAATTACTAATTGTATTGTTATGTAAGTATTTTTTATTGAGTTGTTATTTTGTTGGAACATTTCTGTTACGCAATCCATTGGGTTACGTTGAATGAATAACGGACTTTAAAAAAAACAACATTTATTTGAAAAAAACCGCCAAAAAATTCAACTCAGTTTAAATTTGAACAAAATGTGTATGTATTAAAACAAAAAAGGCCAGAAATACTGTTCAAATTTTTAATTAGATCTATGAATTTTTTAATCTCAACACATTTTTCCGGAACATGTACAAGTATGAATTAAAATAGACATTAAACATGGGAAGATGATAATATGATCAGTTTTCAAAAAAAGGATATACAATGTAGTTCACAGCAAAATAATTTTATTCTTTATTTTTTTTTTATAAAAAAAAATAAACAAGTTTATTAATTTCATGTTGATAACACATTTAATGGACATGTGAATTTTGGCATTTAAAAACTATAGTTAAACTGAAATAATTGAAATAAAACCTACTTTATTAAAGACCATTGATAAGGAGTAAGGAGAGATTCTACAGTGAAAGTTTCTTTTTAACTTAAACGATAAAGATTATTTTATAATGAGAAAAAGAACTGTAGTTGGATCATAATATGATTAAAAATCAAGCGATTTAGATGCAAGTATGATAATGGTAGTAAAAACAGATTGTTCTTCTGTTTAGGCTGTTAATATTTATCACATAACAACCTTTGAATTAATAACCGATTTCTGACTTGCAATATGAGTTCACATCTAGCCTGAAGGTACATTGTATGCTCGAGAATTGTGAAGAGCAGTAAAGAGCATGCGAAAAGGTGGGCCGACAACTCGGTACATAAACGTTATTCATATTGAGAGTAAGTAATGTAAGCGACAGAGTTTTTTTCTCCAAACCACCGGGGATTTAAGGATGGTAACCCTCAGACATTTAAACATTTTGAAGTTAATTTATATTTTATCTATATACAAATCATGAATCAACCATTGTTAGACGGTCGTTTCGTTCTGAGATGGGACTCATCAGCAATGTGCATCCACTACTCATACTACTGGCAAGATTCGAACCCAGGACGTTCAGTTTTGCGCGCAAATACCTAATCTCTGGACCTTTGGACCGTACCTAACGGTGTTAGTGCCTAACTCTGACCAATATAGGGATTTTGCGCGACCTCACCCATTTGTCTTCGACAGTTTCTGCCTACATTCGGCAGAGTTAAAGTCTACTGGTCACATCTCACTAAAACAGATTGATTCATGATTTCAATAAT